GTAGAGAAAGTAACTGTAACAGTGACTAATAAAATGATGTGAGATCAGTTTAGTACAGGTCCTCAAATATCAGGAAGCCGGAACCTTAAATTGGAAATGGGAGGCAACTAGAAGCAAGGAACTGTACAGCCAACATGCCATCTGATACGGAAGAAATTAAACGCTTGATTATAATTGATGGTTTAATACAAAATTCTGAATAAGCGAATAATATCTTGTGTCAGATATATGAAATCGAATTTGAAAACCCAAGGACAAGTTTGTACGCTTTAATGTGACTACATCAGGGCATCATGTGGCTTCGGTGCCCCTCTCTCAGTTCGTTGTTCCTGAAAATAAAAACAATTTATTTCTTGTTCAAATTAATTAACATTTATTTTAAAAAATGTTACACGGTGCCAATAAACGAAACCTCGCGGCTTCACCGTGTAAAGCCAGACAACTTTCCATCGCGCTGCTAATCAAAATTTATACCTACTGCTTCTGAAATGTTGCACATTTCACATTTACTGTGAATTTCTGGTGTCCATCGACAGATAAGTTTAAGCATGTTTTGGTTCTTAAAAGCAAATTTTCATTGTGAAAATTAAGCATAAATTTCCTATCTTTACATACATAAGCTCATTTTTCTTTTTGTCCAACTGCATCAAAGACGATGCCGGGCGTCGTACAAGCATTCCATCTGGATCGATCAAATTTGCATCTGCTTACTCTTCCGCCCATTCGATCTCATGTCCATTCTGGTGAAATCCTTCCGTCTTGTTGGAGGACTTCTTAGGCTTTGCGTTTAGTATCGGCTTTCCAGAGCAGCTATGGTTCATTCGTTGGCACTGGTCCCACTCTCTGAAACTTCCTGTTTGCAGCCAGTAGGTCACTTTAGTTGGATATTCTAATTTTTCTCTCAGAAAAGCATTTGCCACCACGTCGTACCAACGCCACTCCTCCAAATATTGATCTTAAAGTTTTCGTTTCCGTCGTATCCAGTTTTCTATTTTCCGTTTTGTTAACTGCTGCCATCTTCAAGCCATTCAGCAAGACGTTCAGAATGTAAGTCTTGTAATCTTCAACTTTGTGTTATTGCCAACATCTTTGTCTCTCCGCAGCTTCATTAAGTTTTTGGTCGCTGCTAGTGCCAACGCACAACTGTCTTCACTTCTTTTGTCACTCGTCTTTCTGAAGTCACTGTATCCGTAAAACACATGTTCTGGTACCTTTTCCGCAATTTAGATTTCAAGGGTCAGACAGCCTTTAGTCTGGGTTCTACCACTTTCCGTCTGCTTTGTCTTCTTCAAGTTGATCGAGATACCCATATCAGAGAATCTCTGTTTCAATCTTAGGAAGAGAGGTGTAGTATCTGTCAAAGACGAACGGACAAATCACAGATTAAACAGTTATCGTATACAGGCATGTCCCTCTGATAATGTTCAGTTTGATTGTAGTGGTGGGTGGTGCAGTGGAAAAGAGGTGACGGGTTCAAATCCACTGAAAGGATAACCAACGTCATATCCGCGAATTTCCTTAAGCAATGAACCAACCGCACAATGCTTCGGAACAACTAGCTGAAAAACAGGTAGTAAGTCGGTGATTTGCTATTTTGCATGGCCTGACTCAGAAGAGAATAGTATTTTGGTCTGATCATGTTGTCTGATTTCACCCACTTAGCTGCCTTTTGCTTTCACCCACTTGATTGCTGATTATCCAATATAATGACCAGCACAATATATAACCACGATAATATATTTCAATTTTACCGACAAGCAGGGTTTTAAACAGACCTCTGATTTTGAACCTTTCTCGTTCCTACAACTACTGACTTGAAAGACTTCCTGCCTAGAAGATTTAACTTTCAAACTGTCGGGATGTTGCAAATTATTAAGACAACCGTTTTACTGAGGTTATTCAAAACTCTCAGTTCAAATAAACAACAATACACAAATAATAAACCCGTACATTAAAATTTTACCTTAAACTCAAAAATTAGGGCGTGAAAAATCCGCAAAGTCTTACCACTTCAGCTGGCCGATAATACCGAGGGTTCACACGGACTCGAACTGTACCAGTCGCTTTATCACGTCCAACCTCGTCGACCCCGGTTCCTTCCCAGCTAAACGCACATCAATAAGTTTGTTTGGTGCAGGATTATTGTTTGAATTTCAAAAACGCACACAATCGTAACGCCAACGATCTTGAAGGCGAGTTCAACGAATTCCCTGACGCTGTGCATTTCGCCCGTGGCAATGACGTAATCATCCGGCTCAGGTTGTTGCAACATTAACCACATGGCCTATTTAAATTGCGATAAATAAGAATGCATATACATCGGTGATTAACATGATAATGAATACTGGAATTAACATGCTGGGTTTTAAACCTACGGCTGACTGACTTCGTTTTCTATTAAACAGAAGGTTAAGTGCAGACCAATACGCACTGTGGCCAAAAGCGCTAAAGTCGAATAGCATTAATATAAATGCCGTAAGCCTAAGCTTGAACCTGCCAATGCCATATTGTCTTAATCGTTCACAGGAATCGACATGTTAACCGTTTATATGCTATAAGCATCTGAGCAAAGTTGGATGAAATCTTTGCTCGGACAAATGATAACTTACAACAAGATATCTAAACCATTTCTTTGACAGTAGTGTGTAGATTACTTATATTAAGATATTCAAGGAATGTTACCCATTTTCTGGAAATGAAACGGCCCAGGAAATCATTGCGTTAGATACTTAGCTGTGCATTCAATTAAATTATTAGACTCGCCTTAACTAGAAAAAAAAATTTTTTATTTCTTAGCAAGAAATCTCTTCCCTCATTTCACTTCTGCAAATAAAACAGTGTTTAGGGCCTTAGACCGCTTGCATTTCAGACTTTTATTTACAATGCTCATTTCGTGTCTCGGAAAGGAGAGCTCTAAATTCCGTTGGGGTGGATAGGAATTTAAAATCGATTAAAATGAAAAACTATCTGTTAAATGCAATTTCAGCATATGACGTATCCTACCGATGCC